AAAAAAGCCCCGATCACGAAAATGGCGATCGGGGCTCTTTTCCGGAAAAGCGCGTCTACATTGGCCACAGACGCTTTTCCGGAAAAAGGGTTTTTCCGGAAAAGCAGCCTGCCAATGTAGATGCTCCTTTTCCGGAAAAACTGAAAACGGAATAGAATTCCGTTTTAAACAGTTCTGGAAATTCATGCCAGTGTAGACACAGCCCTCAAGTACAGCTTTCACATGGAGTCACATTAATTGCCTTTGGGTACTCCAATGTATCTCACTTTCCAAGCGAGCTTACCTTTGTGGCATATGGTCCTTACATCAGGAAACACAGCATAATTCAAGTTATTCCCAATCTCTAAGTACTGGTCATTTATCCCAGGGCAATTGCTCTTTAAATCTCACACCAAAGACAACATTTGTAGCCAACCCTATGCTAAAATATATAAAGATTTATTTACTAGGAAAAGGAAATGAGTTATTTACAAGGTTAAACATATACACACACACACACACACACAAATGAGATACAAACTTAAGTTTCAAATGGTAACGAAAGCAGCAAGCCCTTTATGTCCTATAGGGCTACTCCAGGCTGAGCATCTGGGGATCTCTTGCTCATGCCCAGAAAGCTTTGTTCCCTCAATGCCAAGTAGCATAGAGATACCAAGTTTCTTTTGTTCTGGATTTTTATCCCCCTCTTGTGATGTGCTCTGAGCAGCAAACTCAGGTGATGGGAGGAATCCATCTCCATGACTCATCTTCATGGGCAGAAAGAAGAACAACAAAAAGTCTTTTGTCTTCTTATTAATGATGCATAGAGGAAGTCCAAATGCACGATCTCACAATAGTCAGTCTGATACAGACAAGCCTTTCCTTTTGGGACTGGTGTAACGCTTTCTGTTGAAGATCAACCTTTCACGCTCACTAATGTCCATCTCCTGTCTGGTGATTTACAATCTGAAAAGGTGCACAATAGAAATAGTCAAATATTCCATTGTAAGATGGGATACAAATGTCATAAGCGAGGTTAACAAAGGCAGCAGCACAGAAGCATGCACTTAAGTCCAAACTTCAAACACTCTTTTCATGCCAATACCTGTTTTGACAATATTAACACAAAGGTGAGCCAGACTGATTCCAGCTATGTATTTGTCAGCGTTCAATTGAGACAAGGGGACCTTAGCATGATTTGGCATCTGATTGGCCTGCAGCACAATTAGCAATGGGCAAAAAACAGAACCTTATTTCTAGACTTCTGAATTTGGGAGATACAGATTCATATCCCTGCATCAGAGCTTGTCCCTATAAAATGGGTTCCAGGATAAATCTAGAACTCAGAAAGGCCTGTTTTTGGTTCTGATCAATTAATTCTTGTGAGATTTCCACCCAATGTTTACAGAAAGCCTGAGAGTTCAAGGGAGCTACATACAGAGTAAGGAAAACATATTTGGTATAAATCTAGAAGAATCAGGAACTTAATACTTTATTATACTGTGTGTGTTTTATAGGCACATCAAGGCAGTGGCACTGCTGGCAACAATTTTGCAGGTGATGGTGCTGAGTTATGCCTTCTCACTTACACCATCCCGCTGATGGATGCCAATTCTCCCACACTGGACCACCCAGACGCATTTGCAGCAATGGCATTCAGTCCATATGGTCTGGGAGAGTTGGCAACACTAGCCACTCGCTGCCCCCAAGCTGGAGCCACAGCTGGGAGCAAGTGCTGAGCCTCGGGCTGATGTCAGGAGCAGCACCCTGGCCCAACGGCAGGAACCCCAGGTGCCAATGGAGCCTACAGGGCTGGTGGCCTATACCCCAGGACAGGTGGGCAGCAGAGCCCATGGGGGCATGTCCAGCAGGCAATAGGAACCCGAGGAGCCTATGAGGCTGGCAGGCAACGGCAAAGCCAGTGGGACCGGGAGGACCCCAGAACCTCAGTGGGACCCTGTGGAAGCTGCCCAAAGTCTGGAACCCAGGTTTGGTTAAGTTGGTGGTGGATCATCAGGGGGCTCAGCCCCTGGGTATGGGGAAGCTGAGTGCACCTCTATGCACTGAGTAGTTCTAGTTAGGAACCCTACACACACACAACAAAAACATGAGCCCTGACCTATAGAGCTTATCCACCCTGGGTTGGGCTGGGGTTTTTTTTAATCCTACTTACACACTCATCCTTCCCAAGTTCCTTGTGGCTGGTTCCCAAAGGAAGGGAACCTTCTACTGTAGCATTTTGAGATCAGTCAGTATTCTTCATTTGGTCCTAAAAACCATCCTGAATAAAGGATGTGAAGATGTGGGTAATTGGCTTATTGACCACACAATTAGTCGATAAGAGAAGGTGCTCAATCCCAGCTTGTGCCAGGTCCTCAAGCTACCCCTGCCGTGGCTCTGCAGTTTAAATGTAGTAAGAGCCAGGTGCTCAGGCAGTCCAGCTCCTACTACATTTAAAATGCAGAGCTGAAGCAGAGGAAGCTCCCAGACCCTGTATGAGCAGGGAGCTGGGACCCCCCCATGGACAGGGGCTGCCATGAACAGGAGCTGCTTTGAGGCAGCTTCCCCTGCCCTCTTCCCCCTTCCCTCCCCTCCAGTTCGACACAGAGGAGGCAGCACAGCAAAGCTGGTGCTGGGGGAACTGGCTATTAAGTCAGCTCCCCCCAACACCAGCTCCTGCTCCAACCCTCCCTTGCTGCCTCTGACACAGAAGCAGCAAGGGGGGAGGAATATGAGTAGGCAACTCAACTACCTGACAAGCCTAGGCTTGTCGACTACTCACTTATATCCCTATCCTGAATGACCTATTCTTATGGGGAGTCATACAGTGTCCTATGACACTGTTCTACTAACAGACTTCTAATGTTCAAATAGTAAGTATGGGCAATTTTTTCCTAGCATTTAATTTACTGTGACTGTTTTCATTTAAGGATCTCAAAGCTGCTGACAGACGTCAGTCAAGCTTTACAATAACCTTGTGTAGATAGTATCCTACCACCATTACAGCTAGAAAATCTGAGGCACAGAGAGGTGAGTTGCCCAAGATCAGTAAGACTTAGGGGTAGAAGCCATAAACTCTGACTACCATTCCTCAGATCTGGAGGCCACATTAAGACCTTGTACCTAATGCTTGGCCATCTTTTTATGGGAGTGGAGGATAAAGCAGCAGCAGTCTCATTTTCTGAACCTGGGTGAAATCAGTCCCTATGAGCTCCAGCACAAAGCTTGTGCACTTGTTAAGGCTCACTTAACCTCCAATTGTGTGATCTTAGGTGGTGCATAGACCTTGTGCTAGTTTTTTGTACCTGAGTAACTGTTATCCATTGTGTGCAGTGTCTTATAGGACAGGCTGCCTGTTCAAGACCCAGACAGGTGCCAACTCATAAGCAGCAACAAGCTTTTTGTGCTTAAATTTGACATTTTGTTTCCGCACCTAAGCCCTGTGGAAAATAGATTCATGCCAATCATTTGTTTTATTTTAAAATACACCCAAAGCCAAAGAATAGCTGTGATTTTAAAAACAATCAAATCCAAAAACTAGATCTCAAGTATAATTCCAAATTACAAAAACATTTAATGGCTACAATCTGGAAGCCTCTCCTGTACTAGGCCTCCTAAAATCTGCAGGTTAAAAAAAAAAGGCTAAATTTGTTCTAGCTTTCAGTTTTTGTCTACACGTCAGTGTTGGGCTTGATTATTTTTCTATCCTTTTTAAAAGCTTTAAATCCCCACTGCATAACCTCCCCTGTGGCTGAATGGATGGTGGGCTGATCTTTGTATTGGTGGGTAATGGATTTGGTTTGATTGCTTGACACATGAACAATAGAAAGATAAACAATTCCATTTGTGGCCATGAAATTCCCCATCTGTTAAGTGTGTTCCTGTTCTGAGAGAGTCAGGCAGAAACAGATGAACACGCCAGCCAAGCCTGATGTTAATGACATCAGTCATGCAAGCAACACATGTGGCGCAATAAATAAAAAACTAATTGAACTTTTGGTTGATTATATTGCTGTCCCACTGATCATTTTAAATACTCCAGTCTTTTCAGTAACAATGGATCGCCTAATAGATTTGCTTCCCAGAAACAGCAGGAAACTACCCTGGAAGGTAACAAGTGATGCCAGCTTGTTCTTCATCCTGTTATGAAACAGTGAAACCTCTAAAGATGAAATGGCTCTTGGTCCAGGATTATAATTTGTCAAATACTGATTTAAAAGAAAAAAGATTGTATTAAAATGACAGGGACAGCATCTTTTATCCCTAGCTAATGTCAGTAATGGATGTTGGACAAGGTGGGTGAGCTAACATCTTTTATTGGCCCAATTCTGTTGTGAGAGAGAGAGAAGCTTTCAAACTTACGAAGAGCTTTGCTTGCAATAATGGATGTTAACAATTCTGGCAGCAGGCTAGCTTAACTTCTGTGTCAATTACACGTGTATGCTGGTAGCAAATGTGCCTCCCACCGGGCTGATAGAGTAGTAGCATAGTAATTAGGGATAACTATTACACTAATTATGTGAGTGCTCTAGCAGCTGTAAGGCAACACCCATCGCTTGTCGTATGTAGGGCCAAAATTTCAAATATAGGTATCTAAATCTGTACTTAGACACCTACTTTTTTTTTCAGAGCCATTGAAGAGCCAAAAACGTCTTCCACTTTTAAATGCATGCGCAACTTTGGAAATTAGCCATTTATTAAGGAGCCTAAATATGGATTGAGAGTCCCAACTTTTGGCACCCTATGTTTGAAAATTTTGATCAAGATATCAAGAATCTAGGCCCTATTGTCTGTATATACACAATTATAGATTCTTTGAAGTGCAATAAACTTTTCTTAGTATGTGTGTCAACTACTGGATTCCCATTATATGGAGAGACATTTATTTATAAAAATATCAAAGAATGTATATTGAATCTAATCAAAATCATAAAAGACTGCCTAGCAGTAGCTTTGCAAAAAGCAGATATCAAATTCACCAGCTGTACAAAACAGACCCAGTCTGCTTCCATTATTACTAGCCACTTTTATTCCTGAGGTTATTGCAAGCTATAAGAAGGACACATAAAACAAAATGCTACTCATGTAGCAAAGGCGTAGGTAACAGCTAAATTAAATCTTAGCATGAATAGAATTCATAGAAAGACAGATGGTAGTAGAAAATGTTGCAATTAAGAATATGGAATGAGATGAGATCACAGCATCAGTCTGCCTTTTGTAGACCTGGACAATGATCACAGAGCCAGACTGGATTAGTGAAACCTATTTACCAGAAGTTCAGAGCAGTTGCATGAAGCCGATAGGCAGCCAGAAGAGAGAAGGGAAAAATGCACCAGATTTACAGCTGCAGCGATGAAAATTTACAAGTTTTCACCACCGTGATTTCATCCAAATGTGAGTACATGTTAAGCAGAGTAACAGACAGTGTTGTCTTTTATACAGAATGTTTGACCAGCAAAGAAATCGCTTCAAGTGATAAACTCATCTCTTTGTTCTACTGTATTGTACTCATACTTCTGTGTTCTCTATTTGCTCTGATGCTAATGCATGCAGATGCCTGAACAAGGCAGAGATATGAAATATTTGCATAGGAGAAAAATGTGAGGTGAATGTTCTTGATTCCATGTGATTTTGTTTATAATATGAATCACTGAGGTGATCAATAAGGCATAGCTCACAACCGCACAGCTGATTTATGACACAGAAAATTACAATGTCATTTCTTGAAGAGTTATTCACTCACTGGAACAGGCTATACATTGAATAAGTGTCTGCTGAATCAATAAAGGGAGCATCTCCCAAACCATCTCCTAGAAATGAAAGTGTATTAACATGAATTACATCTGATGATTTGAAGAATAAATATCAGGTAGAACGCAGTGTGCATTTGATTGAATGACATAGTATAAACTCAATAACTGCTTATACAAAAGAAGCCAGGTAAAAGCATGAAAAGCTATTTGTGGGGGACAGATCGAATCTGCACTTGCAAGCTGTAACCGTGGGCACTCAGCTGCTTATTTTCAGGCCAAGAATAGGAGCACTGATGTGGACAGCATTGTTATTGTTTCCCTCTCTTAAATTATGTGGATCATTCACATAAACATCCTTCTAGCAGGCAACTTACAGAAGTGTCTTTCTGCTAGAATTTATATCCCCCCATCAGGCACAAAAATGTTCACAATGTTCTCTGCGCTGTTTTCACTGCTGTCATTGTATTCCTGTACAAGTGGGTCACTAATGTCTAGCTCCATGATTCACTCAATACTTCAGTGGTTTTTCAAGTAGCTGTCGGTTTGCCAGTGCTGTGACTTCCCTTTCATGCAATTCCTTTCCTCAGCTCCTGTAAGCTGATTGCTGCCTACAGTGACTTGAACACATGCAGCGATTTGGCCAGTGGTTCACAAACAAGCTGAAAACGTGCAAGGGTATTGTGATTAGATATGTTTGTTACTCATTCACCATGTAGTAGTTGGACATCAGCAGCATAATTAAAGTAACAAAGTATTTTCTCAAATTAGGAAAAATATGGACACTTGACACTGCCATGCACTGTCCAGGAAGATATTAAATAGGTTAACTGCCCTGACAGACACATGTCATTTTTCTGTCAATTAAACTTTTCTGCCCCCATCTTTAATTACATGTTTTGTTTGTAAGGCATCAGTGAATTTAGTCATCACTTACACAGTGAAATCTAGGCTTGTTTGGGGAGGGTTGTTTCTTCATTTAATTGGTCACATCTAGGTGGATGCCAGCTTTGAAAATGAGTCATAGCTTATTTATACAATTTAGGGAAAAACCCCTTCGTTCTGATTAATTGTCCCCCCTTTGCACTGTTTGCAAATACAAACCTCATGAGGTGAAAAGTTTCCATGTTGCTTGTGGATTCCTTCCCACTTCATGAACGTGGTAAAACCATTTTATGGCATATGAATTATTTTAATTGATAGTGACACCGCACCCACATTCCATGCCTGTGGAACTCCAGCAACTGAGCACTGTGTCACATTTTAGACATACCTGACACTAGTTCTTACCTGGTGATACAGTGTAGTGAGCAAGCACCATGTGTTATAGTGAGGCAGAGTTGTCTAGAGGTTACAGAATGGACCTGCAAGTCAGAGGAATCTGGACCTGTTCATTCCTGCCTCTGCTACTGTCTTGCTGTACAACCCTGGGCACAAAATACAGGACAAAATTTGTGAACCTGGGTTGCTAAAGTTAGACACCTAAATCCATATTAAGACATCTAACTAGTGGCCTGATTTTCTGTGGCAGCTGCAGGTGCTCAGTAACTCTAAAATTAGGCCATTTATTTAAATGGCTAAATATGGGTCTAAATGCCCAACGTTAGACACTCAAGTTTGAAAGCCCTGATCATAACTTCACTCTGCTTCAGTTTCCCTCTCTGTAAACTTTGCATGGCCAGAAACATTCATCTCTGCAAAGCCCTTTCAGATGACTGGATGAAAACCTCTGTTTAAAAGCAAAGGATTATTAATGGGAGATGAGTGTCCAATGTTAACAACACTGCAAAGTAGCGTAGAGGAGTCAAAAATTTTAGTATTAAGTGTTTCATTAGTCAAATTATAATACCTTAGTTAGCCCATCTTCAAAGCACCTTACAAGCATTAATTTGTGTTGGTAACCCATGCATTTCAATGAGCCCAAGAACTCAAAGCAACACTCAACTGGAGATTAAGAAGCTTTGGGTCTGTACATCCTAACTCAAAACTCTGGTCATCTGAAGAAGTGGGCTGTGCCCACGAAAGCTCATGAGACCATCTACATGTTTTTGTTTTTTGTTCTGGAGATTAAGAGTTATATTTCCTTTCTCAACAAAGCCATCATGGGCAGTGGGTGAACCACTAACTCAGGGAGGCTAGCCCCTGGCCAAGCCCATCTTTTCCATCTAAGTCCCTTCCCCCTTCTACTCCTCTTCCTCCCCCAACCCAGAGGTTCCTCTCTGCAGCTGCCAGCCCCCTAACCCCAGAACACAGGGTGGGTGGGCTGTGCACAGCCCAAGCAATCTATGGTTCCCAGATCCAGAGAACCAGGTGGCATGTGGCCCACCAGAGTACTGGGTGGATGGACAGCACACAGATCCTGAAGGGCTGGGCAGCGCGACCCCAGTACAACAGCTCCCTCCCCCAGCACTGGGCAGCCCCAGTTACTCCAACTCCCAGGCCAGCCCTAGCTATAGCTGTAGGGAAGGAGGGGGCCTCTGGACAGAATGTGGGCGGAGCCACGAAGGGCTGTTTGGATTGGCACAGCCTTCCACTGCCTAGTAGATGCACTGTTATGAAAACCATCCAAAACTGCAGACGTCATTTGATTTTGACCCAAGTTTAAGCCTGAACAGGAACCCTGGATCCCAAAACCTCCTCAAACTACAGCATACCTGAGCTACACTATCCTCTCTGGGTCACACGCTGACCAATGTACATTTATAACCCAATCTGCCCTTTCCTCAATATAGAGAGGACACACACAAGCTTTTGTAACTGAGCTGAGAATTCCCAAGCAATTCAAGCAAAATACATTGTTTTAGGTCAAATATAAAACATATTCATTAACTATGGAAAGACACATTTGAAGTGATAAGCACAGGAGGAAAGAGATGGTTATCAAAGAAAATTAAAATAAATGTACAATCTAAATCTTATTATATTAGACAGCATTTAGCTCAAGCAATGTTCTCACCTTCCCTCCTCCCCCACTGAATGTTACAGTCCTTAATGCACAAACTTCTCCCTGAAGCCTGGACAAGTCTTCTCAGATGATCTTTGTCTTTGAAATGTCCTGCTTGTATCCAGTGTAAGTGGAGGAGAAAGGCCAATACATGGCGCTGTTGTTTTTTGTTTTATATCCTTGGCCCATGTACCTGGCACAATCTCATAATGTTATATACCCTAATGATGCACATATTTGGACAGAACAATAAGGGTCAGCAGATCATGAGTTTTCATATGATACCTTACATGGCATGCTTTGTACAAAATATTGCAGCTGTATACGAATGATGAATATGGGGATAACAGCGTGTCATTCTGACTTCTGAGATATGGTGTTTCACAAATATGTTCCATCAGCATAGCTAAATTACCTGGATCTGAAGTCCCCAGATCAAATCTACCTCTCAACTCCATATAAAACTATAAACTGGCCCATGTTTACTTGAGACTGGGCCTAAGCCCTCTCCAAACATGCCTTTAGTTTAGGCTGAGTGTCAGGTGGGTAAAGAACCAGGTGAGAGTTGAAAAGAACTTTTCATACAGCTCTAATTAATGAGGACTTCTCATTAATAGGCAGCAGGTTTAAAACAAACAAAAGGAAGTTTTTCTTCACTCAGTGCACTGTCAGCCTCTGGAACACCTTGCCAAAGGATGTGGTGAAGGCTAAGACTTTAACAGGGTTCAAAAAAGAGCTAGATAGATTAATGGAGGCTAGGTCCCTCAATGGCTATTAGCCAGGATGGATAAGAATGGTGTCTCTAGACTCTGTCTGGAAATGGGTGATAGGAGAGGGATCATGTGAAGATTACTTGTTGTGTTCCCTCCCTCTGGGGCATCTGGTATTGGCCACTGTCAGAAGACAGGATACCGGGCTAGATGGACCGTTGGTCCAACCCAGTATAGCCATTCTTATGTTCTTACTTCACAATATGGCAGCTATACCATTGTGTAAAATCTGAGGGAGGTGGTTTTCCAGACAATATCCCTTCTTGTTTTTATTCACCAATTAGAAGCCTGAGCTTGTGTGTCTTTTTGTGCAGAGGTCACTTGAATTGAAGATCCTCCTATCGATAGCATTTGATGGAAGTAAAGACATTGTAGACTTTGAGAGCCAAAAGAGTCCCTATTTTCTCCTCTACGATAATCAGCTTCATTTGGAGAAGCTCCATTTACTACTGTAGAGACTTTGCATCTGTGTCCTATGTTTCGGTAATAAAAGGAATGTGCACAAACTATTTTCAAGAGCATAGTTCACCTAAATGTTTAGCCTTTAGTTTAGGCTGAGTGTCAGGTGGGTAAAGAAACCACAATTTAAAAAATCATGACATTGGCTAAAAAATAGTTACATGAGCTATTACTAATGCAACAGTTGGGTTCTATTTATTTATTTTCTAGTTTTCAAGTCTTTAGGGGGCATCGTGGCCACATTTTTTCCATCTTCTTCCCTGATTTACAAGAGCTAGAAATTCCAGTGTTGCCAACTATGCTTGATACTCTATGGCAGTGGTCCCCAACGCAGTGCCCGTGGACGCCATGGCGCCTGCTGGGGCATTTACGTGCGCCCGCCGAAACATCTGGGCTGTCCCCGCCCCCGGCCCCGGGCATGTGGTGCATGTGCGGTGCCAGCCCCGGGCGCAGGGCACGTTAGCGGCTCCTGACCCGGGTGCCCGGCGCGTGAGTGGCCCCGCCCCTGGACGCCCGGTGCGTGAGCAGCCCCGCCCCCGGATGCCTGGGGCGTAAGCGGCCCTGCCCCCGGACGCCCGGCAGCCACAAAAGGTTGGGGACCACTGCTCTATGGTTCCTTCAATGGAACAAGAAACATGTCCCAGCACTGCACACGCTAGTCGGCCGAGTGAAGACACAGAATCAGAGCTGGTAACGACATTTTAAACAAATTTTGCTTGCATTTGTGATGATCTCACAACAAATTACTCCAACCTGAGATTTGCCAGTTTCTATTTCTAATTAACAAATTCATGTCTAACGCTGTCATCTCAGATGTCTGCCACTATTACATTCTGACTGGGTTTCTTTCATTCTCTTTGCAGCGTGTAGTCCAGCGAGAAGAAAAGCCAAAAGCACACAAAACATGCTATCCAAGAGAGTAAGAACAACATCCATTTTTTTGTATTCGAGTTGGCTGAACTTATCCTTGAAAATCTCATAGCTGAGAAAGCAACGAGCTGGGGTCTCGGGAGCACAGAACTGAAATGGTGGTCTGGAGCTGGAAAAAGCTTTTAGAAAATGTCTGGAAAATTGCACATATTTAGAAAAAAATGTCTTGAATTCCTCAAAAAGATTTCTGGGGGGAGGAGAGTGTATGTCAAGCAAAACTATTCAAAAATAGTTTAAAACATTCTAACAAAACAAATGACAATATCCTGTCAGAAAAACATAGTCTGAAGGAGCTTGGGGGGATAGTTCACCTCAGGAACCAGTCTGAGGCTCTGAGAGTTAATCTGTGCCAGCCCTTTTTGCTAGCACAGCTTGCTTTCCCCTCTGTGCCAGTTCTGGACCATTGGCTTTGCACTGTGAGCACTGGCTTGTGCACAGTGGTGGAGCCAAGGCTGCACCACTCCCACAGTCCTGACTACCACCTTCTCCTGCAGCTGCAAAAGACAGTAACTGTCTAACAACAGCTGACCTCCTCCCCTTACCAAACACACACACACGCAAGCTCTCAGTGATTCTAATGCCTTTTGACTCCCTTGTGTGGGTGTGAAGGAGAGCTAACACGTGAACCCAAAGGCATCCAAGCAGTTAGTTAGTAAACTTTTTAACTTTTCAGAAGCTTAATCAGTGATTGTGAAAAACCCTCACCAGCTTGTGCAGCTGCATGATCTTGCCCTTATGATCCATTCCCTCCCACTGTTTATTTCGCTCATTTGTTGCAGCTTTCTCTTACTTAACCTGTAAGTTCTCCATGGTAGTGATTGTGTCTACTTATGTATCTGTACCCCAGAAATTCTACATTCAAGGTGTTTAAATGAGTAAAAACATTCTCAAAGATGCATCTCCTACAATCTTAAATAATAATTTAAGATGGCCAAAAATGTAATTTCTACTCCATGGGAAATGCTGAGATTTCAAAATGTGGGTTTGTCCTGAATCCGGACAAAAAAGTTGAAATCTCAAAAATTTTCAGAAAAGAAAATATTGTGACAAACTTCATTTGGATTTCTTCATTTCATTGGGATATCATTGTGTTGACTAATATACAATACTAGATTATTGTATTAGATTACTGCATTGTTCGGGTCCTTAACTCAAGTAATTTTTTATTTTCTTCATTTAAATCATTGCTCTGCTGTGGGGCTGAGGATAAGAGGTTCAATATGCAAGCTGCCCGGGGAAGAGAGGATAACCCCAGCTCTCTCTCACTGCAGCAACTTGGGGCCAGATGAGAAGCACCTCTCCATGGTCACTGCAGCTTGAGTGGGCACAGCCAGGGAGAGGTGCATGTATGCCAGCTGGGGCAGGTCCAGGTTGGTCTGCCCCCTGTGCTCCCAAGACAGAATGAGGAAAACAGCAAACTGTGAAGTTAACCCTCACTTCCTGACAAAGGGGAATAGCCAGCAATGTCCCCATACAAATGGGGGAGGGGTGCTTCAGCCCCCCCCTCCCTAAAGTGTGGTTGTGGGGTGGGAGTCTTGAGGCTGGGACAGTCCAAGATGGGGGGGACACCTGCCAGCCAGCCTGCCTGATGATTCTGCCTTTTTTCTGCACGGTTTTCTGAAAACTCATCTGATGAAGTGTTTTGTTTTATCCACAAAAGCTCATGATCGTATATATTTGTTAGCCTTTAAGGTGTCACGGGGCTGGTCATTGTGTTTAAAGTTACAGATTAACACAGCTCTACCCCTCTGAGACTTTTTCTCTCAAATATATGATCGATAAAAGTTGAAAGCTAAAGTCGAAATAATATACATCCAAATCAGTTTAAACCTTCTCGAAATAAAATGTTTAGGTAATCGGTTAAAATTTTTGACAAAATCAATACGCTCCTGCCTAACGTTTTGTTTTCACCAAATCAGCATTTTCTGACAGAAAACAGCTCTAGTCATAATCCTGTTCTGCTATTTTTATTCTGTAGTGTGATCATTAAAATCTCAATATACAGTTATTGCTACTATTTGGCAGTGACTTCTGCAACCTTTAATTTGTGGTGTGTGTGCCTATCTTTGTCACTTATTTAAAGAAACTTTGAATACGTTTATAGTTTCTTTTGTGGGGGTTTCCCCTCTACTCCTAGATGAATAATATCCTTGATTGTCCTCTTTTGTCAGTGCTGATGATCCCATGTTTACAATCGGAGCATCATGGCAAAAGGATCATGTGTGCAATGCAAATAAGGAAATCAATTGGCCTTTCAAAAATAACCACACAAACCTTAGATGTTGATGTCCATGTTTCAGCTGACTGCAGCTAATGTGTAATCATCCAATAGCATTGCACATGCTGGAAAAGACAAGCCTTTATGGATGTTGTAATGGTCAATTTTTTCTTCTACAAAGAAAATGAGAGGTTATATTTTTTTCATTTGCACATTTGCCTGCTGTTAGCAATGCAGTTCTGTCAAGAATGGCATGAGGTCTTCCACCCTGGTAACCACAGTGGATGCACAACGTTAATCCCAGACAAGAGCAAAAATAGCAAACAACCTGGAAACCTGCCAGGTTCCTTCGTAGCAGCAGCACTTGAGCATGCCAGTGCAGTATTAAGTGATTTATACATTCATGTGACTGGCCTTGTGAGGTTACCTCAGTCGTTTTAAAATTAACCCTTTCCATTGCCACGAGGGTAATCAAGGAAACTTTTTAAAAGGTGCACGATTTAAACATTCAGATGGTCCCTCAATAAGCTCATTTTCATGATAGCTCCTCCCCTTCATCTCTTTCTCCCATTCTCTCTTCTTGTGCCCCAAAATGTTGACTGGAATTATATAAAAATAGTCTTAATTGAAACTGACATTTGATTACATAGCCAATATTGCTGTACATTCTAGCACTTACACTGCTAAAATTAGATCAACCTGCCCAGTGATAAGAATGTAGCTCATAAAATATGGCATTTTTCCATTAGCTGTGTGATTCTTTAGAGCCATGTTTCTCATACTGTGGGTCCCGAACCCCTGGGGGGTCATGAACAACTTAGATGGGGCTCGTGGTATTACAAAGTTTGAGAACCCCCGCTTTAGAGGATAAGCCACAAAATCACAATCAAAGTCATGCATTTAATTGCTTCATTCTTTCTTTGATTGCTTGACTCTTTGGAATGGGAATGGTTTATTAGTTTCAAGAGCATTTTTGTATGTTGTGCTATAGCCCACACATCATTGTGCAACACTCCTGAACCCTAGCTTGCCCACTTTTTCATCCTCATTTCAAGCTAATTTTAACACTAGGGCTATGAGACAGCACCACTGTGTAAGGCCTTGCTGCTTTTAAAATCAGTGGTTGAACTTAGTAACAAAAGTTACTAGAAATTGGCCTCTGAATGAGGATCCAACAGCATGGGAACAGGATAACCCGGTAAAGCACAGTAAAAACAGTAATCAAACATTTAGAAAGCAGCCTGATTATGTGGGTGACTCTGCCAATAATTGGCAGTTCACCTGAATAACTGCAAAACTCACATGGATTTAGCTTTGCTGTTACATTTAGAAAAGAAAAGTGACTACAAGATAATCCATGTGATTTACCCTACTTGTTTCTGATGACCTAAAGAAGTGTCAAATCTTGTTTAGCTCTATGTGGGCTGCCTGCGGCAGGTTTGGTTTTCTGACCTACATATGTCTTGACTTATTACAGTAACATGTTGGGTAGTCCCTATCATGATGAAGTCACGCATTAGGGTAGCAGTTCTCAAACTCACTGCACCGCGACCCTCTTCTGACAAGAAAAATTACTACATGACCCCAGGAGTGCAGACAGAAGCCTGAGCCCACCCAAGCCCCGCCACCATTGTGGACAATGGGGGTCAAAGCCAAAGAGCTTTGGATGGGGGGGCCTTTAACCTGAGCCCCACCACTCAGGGCTGAAGCCCTTGGGCTTTGACTTTAGCCCCAGGCAGTGTGGCTCAGGCTTCAGCTGGGCCCCAGTAAATCTAACACGAATCCCGGCAACCCTATTAAAATACAGTCACAACCGATTTTGGGGTCCCACCCCACAGTTTGAGAATCGCTGCATTAGGGATAAGGAACACTGAAAGTCTGCTGTTATTAGTTAGCTGTAGCAAATAAATGTAGGTCTATGTGAGATGTTCAGTCGGGATTGTGCTGTGACAGTTGAGCTAGCACCGTGACAGAAATGTCATAATTTATTGCAATGGTTCTTCATGCTTGAAGAACCTTTTGTACCTAATATAAGTAACTAGAAATCTTTAAAAACATAGGTAACATGGCTAAATAAATTAACCCTGCATTGAGCATAGAACTGACAACAAACCATGCACACACTGACACCTGAAATTTACAAGACATGTACCACTGGGCCAAGTCAGCGCTCTCCTTGAGTCAGGGAGGATGTGGGCAGATGCAACTACCCACTTGCATGTCATAAAATTAACACGTCTGGCCTCTGGAAGAGCACAGAGGAAAGCAAAATCCATACTTGAGGGTCTGTATGGAGAATGCCAAGCTAGCAGCAGCCTCATCCAATTGATAGTGGTGTGGTCTCTGAGTGTGCCTCCTGACCAAATTGTGGCAATGTGTGATGGGCCCTCCAATAACCAGGTTCCAAACCCTCCAGGGTTTTGTAACCAGTTGGGTTGCATGCACATTTAGTCATAGCTGATGCAGATCCTTGAGAGTGTGAATAATGTCTGCTTAAACCAATCAGAGTCTGCTTAAAACGTGGACCCCGCATTTGGGAGTTTGCAGAGTGCAAGTAGCCACTACAGAGGGACTAGGCGATTCTGAAATAGTGCAGCCACAGCTAGATGAGAGCCAGTAGAGACTGCTTGAGCAGCAGCTAGAGGCTAACAGCTACTGTCGTCCTTGGAATGGGGGGTTTAATACAGCTGGAGCTGTGCAGAAAAGTGCTGGTAAATATCTTCAAATGCCTGGGGGAAGCTAAGTCTGAGAACCAGTTTCAGGGCTCTATGGGGCCCCATGGGAGAGCCCTGGAATCCCAGTCTCCAGCTTGCCTCAAGGGGATGAAGTCCAAGCACCCCTGTGGGATTGAAGCCCTGAATACTGGAGTGCCCTGCACGTTGAAGCCCTGAGCACCAGCACTGCTACTGAAACATGAAGCCCTGAATGTGGCAGGGAGGATGATCCAGGAAATAAGCTAAACAAATTTAAACCTGCCCCATTCCTCATCTTTGCCCGCTGTTGCCTTTCTTCTTGAATTCTCTCCTGATCTTCCAAGAGAGGAAAGCAGGGCTAAGCAAGAGAAAGTCTCTCCTCGTGCTACTGTTCTGTCTCGTATAGGCAGTACCGCCACCCCAGAGAAAAGCAAAAGTGCAGGGGCCAGTGAGGCAATGGATAATGTGTCTGTGGTCCAGGAGAGTGCAGGGTTATGAAAGCAGAGAGAATGCAGGTCATTATTCAACATGTTTATCATTCCTCTTGTTCACATCTCAAAATCAAAATATTCCTTCATTTATGGGCATACAAATTGAAAGATTAAATGCTACAGAGCCAATGACAGCGGTTCCAGTATAATTACTTGAATGCCTTACATCAGTGGTCACCCACCAGTAGACTGGGATCTACTGGTAGATCTTGGAGCCTCTGACAGGAGATGCTGACAGGTTTGGCCAAGAGGCTACTATCAAGTGTGGGCACTTCAGTTACCCTTCCCCCACTGCTGAGCAACTCTGCCCTTTGCCATGGAGCTGTCCCCACAGGAGCCTCCTGCTTGCTGTGCAGGGCAGGGGAGGGAGAGGAAGGGCACTGATGTCAAGTTGCCCCCTCCCACTTTGTATCCTGTCTCCACAGAGCAGAGAGGGGACACAACAGGGCTTGGGATGGAGGAAGCTTGCTGGATGCTTTTGGGAGTGGTGCAGGGCCAGGGCAGGGATGAGCTGCCTTAGCCCCACTGCACCCCCACCCAGGAGCCACCTGAGGTAAACAGTGCCCAGCTGGAGCCCACGTCCCCAAACCCTACCTCAGTCATGAACCCCCCTCCTTTACCCGGAGAACCATGGACTGCATCCAAGTGCCCTCCCAGAGCCTGCACCTAGAACCCGCCCCCCCCCGACACCTCAACTGCCTGCAGCTCAAAGCCACTCTCACATTCCAGATCCCTTAATCCAAGGCCAGAGCCTGCACCCCAACCCTCTGCCCCAGCCTGGTGAAAGGGAGAGTGGGAGGATGGAATGAGCAGGGGTGGAGCCTCAGAGAGGGGGCACAAAGGAGGAGGAGCCAGGGTATTTGGGTTTGAGGTAGATATTGGATTGCACTTAAATTCAAAAATGATCTCACATATTAAAAGGCTGGAGATCACTGCCTTACATTCTTACATAGCTCCAATGAAGGTTTTTATAATTGGACAGTTTTGTCTCTTTCCTGCAGGTGGTAGCAGTGTCTGATTATCAGCCTTACAGGGCAGAGGACTTGCTTCCAAGCTCACAGGATTTCACCCAAGTCCCGTACAAAGATGCAGTGTGGAACTTTGGTCATTTGCAGAATGAACAGGAAGGATTCTGTCCTACCAAGCACAGTAAGTTCTCAGCTATGACTTCCTTACTCCGTTATCTCTGCTAATTGCTTAGATCATTGTTTGATAATGCAGCCTTCTAGTTTCATGAAGTTTTCATTAAAATGGATACTTTGGTATGTATCTCAAAAACTGTCCGCAAAAAAATGCAGTGCGGTGAATATGATGATGATCTTGAGGTTGCAAAGCATTTGACAGTAAGAGACTGGGCTAATATCACATAACACTTTTTTTTTCCAAACTCATACTCTTCTGTTCCAAAAGTTTAAGATATATTCTGGCCAGCCCTGGTAGTGGTGCCTGTTATCATGAAGTTGCCTTTCACTGTGCCCTATAAAACCCTGTCGTCTGTTGCTTATAAATTCTGACAGACTATTTGGTCTGAAATTTTATATCCTGAATATCTGCCTCAGGCCAAATTGCTTTGGAAAATTGCTGCTGAAATGGCTCCTGTGGGAATTCTGCCCCCAAAATAATATATCTGCACTTGAGCAAAGTGTCTTATACCTTTCTTGACCTGGTCCACACAGGATGACAATCTTCTACTTCTAATTGGTTACTCCATAGCTCAAATGGAGATCCAATGACTACGTGGGTGTCAATGTGATGCCATGTACTTGAATCTCATTGTTTCTATTTGCTTTTTATAAAATTAGGATAACACACACACACACACACACACAAAACCCCTATGTTAAAAGAACATTATTGAGGCAGCAAAGTGAAGCTCTCATAAGTATGGAAATGGCTGAATTAAGGGAGGTAGGAGGAAATGTTCTTTGCAGCTTCCTTTTTTGCCCCCACACAAGGCCATGCACAATGGAGTGTGGGGTAAGACCCGACAGCTGGACCCATTGTTGATAGCTAAAGTTACGGGGTTGACTTACAAGTCTCCTTTATCAATTCCAAGCTCTCTCATTCCTACATAACAAAAGGTGGTCAGGTCTTTTGTGATATAGATCTTTGCAATTGGTCATAGTCAAATCTAATATGACTACATAAGTCTACTTACAGCCTCTTTCCACATACAGGCAGTCCCCGGGTTACGTACAAGATAGGGACTGTAGGTTTGTTCTTAAGTTGAATCTGTATGTAAGTCGGAACTGGCGTCCAGATTCAGCCGCTACTGAAACTGACCGCCAGTTCTGACTTACATACAGATTCAACTTAAGAACCCCAAGCTTCCCCAAGTCAGCTGCTGCTGAAACTGATGAGCGCTGATTCCAGGAAGCCTGGGGCAGAGCAACTCTGCCTCGGGCTTCCTGTAGTCAGCGCT